TTCGGATGGATTTATTCATGCTTTGCTCAATTCATCCCGAATAGTTCCAACTTAGAATTGAAGAGCACATTTCATTCTATAAGAAAATGGCCACCTACCTGGACGGCATGAAATACCCCTGGAAACATGGTGCACTGGTCGAGCTCAATGGGGTCTTCGAAGGACCATAACGACCTTTACTGGAAAGCTAGTTCCGAGGGGATTTGCATAGTGGTAGCTAATGCCTCTAGAAAACTATCCAACATTGAATCGATTCACGAAATTATGTAAGAGCTTCAGGCTGAAGCAGTTACGGTAGACCTCCTTGAGCTGACGACGGTGACAGATGACGTCATATTCTGAAGACGGTGAGGGCAGTGAAGGAGGGCCTGCGTGTACTTATAGAGGGACATTTAGGGAATACTTGCTGAGGAACTTCCGTCAACGACGGCAATCTGCGAAGAAAAAAGGCCGAAGTGCGACATGGGCAAAATGTCTTTTTTTTGCCCCCCCCTCCTGTGTGTTGCACTTGTTCGATCACGAATGTGTCCTTGATAAGGCCTTCAAAACAAAGAATCGTTTATTGTTTCAGAGAATACTGCACACAAGCGAAAACCTGTACGTTGTATTTGAAGACGAAAAGCAGCATTTGATGGGCGACGTCCTCCTCTCATGGGCAATGAAGCAACAAAGGGTACGTTTCAGTGATGAACTAACTTTAACCCATGCAGACCACCGGTATATGTGTCCCTCAGTAGGTTTTGATCGTCTATTTTATCAGTAGCCAATGGCGTAGGAGTAACTTTATCAGCATCCAATTACAGTTAATAATTTCTGTGCTCGGAAAGGCTTACTGATTATTTTGCTAGTAAGAGGGATGGAAAATAAATCAAAGATAACGATGTGGTGGCGCATGGTGAAGCGCGCGGGTCAATTCCTGGTCGCACATACCCTAAACTTTCTTCGTGCGCTTTCCCACGAATGAGGCTAACTAACCAAGGGTGCCCATCCATGGATTTTCTTTTTGACGGTCCGTAGATCGGACTTTGTTTAGAGCACTGCGCTTTTTCTTCCTTGGCCTGCTTTCTCTGCTTGTATCGGTAGCATAATATCGTAGCGTTTTTTTTCGAGCGTATAAATTCAGTCAGTACAAGTATCACCCAAAAAACTGCTCATAGTATTTGAAAGTACTCTTCTCGCTCTACAAAACCGTGGTTGTCATTTTCTTCAAAATTGTAGCTGTACTCAGTATAGAGCTTAGAAGTTGGAAATCAGACGGCGAAAATCGGCATTCCCAACCTTTTCCGCTCAAAGTGAATCCATATTCATTTCGTACAATTTCAGAAAATAAGGACTTCGAAGACAATTTTTTTTCGAATTCTTTATCCAGTGATTCCCTGCGATATGCCCAAAGATGTAAAAAATGATCAGTAATTAGTTTTATGCTTTTGTTTTTTGCTTCATTTGTTCACGTGAAGAAATGAAGAATGCAAGCGCTACGATAGCTCGAACCCAATAGTAGACGTACTCATCAGTGACTGCGCGTACCCGACTTTCCATCCTAGACCATGAAGGCGTTTTGAATGATTTCTGACCCGAGTAACTGAATCTGATTGAACTAAACAATCGAAACCAACTGTAAATTGCGGCGGAGTGGGAAAAGGAGGATAGGGGAGCGTTGCTAGTACTCCAAGTTTGTCCAAAGAAGCGAGTCGCCCACATTCGTCGATGGCAGAATGGAAGGTTTCATTCCGCGTTAAAATAGGTATGGCGTTTTGCGTTCGTCAATGAACGTTTTTGTGGTTGGTATATCAGAAAAGAATATGTTGAAAACCCCTAAATTTGTACTGTGGGCTACCGTATGGGCGGGGTTTGCGCCCTCCCCTACCTTTTCTGGTGGCGATAACCCTCGATTTAAAGGGCTTCCTAGCAGTTTCCTTGCTTTCTTTCTATTGGTAGCTGCCTTCCACGGCCCTACACCATAACCCCCGCCTACTCATTCGCCGATTGTGCCTTTGTGGCCAAATTTTGGTTGAGGGTCGCACTGTCCAATAATAATTGACTTTCTTTCAAGGTAAGCATCGGCACGTTATGGACGCAACAACTTCACTATAAGCAACTGGACGTGATTCACCTACAGTACGTTTTGACAAGCCTTTTTCTCTTTGGAGGCCCACCTCCAGTGGGTATTGAATATTATTTCTGTAATGTGTTTCTGAAATGGCGCCACTGTACGCCCAAGCGATGGCTGTTCCCTCACCGTCTGACCCTGGCCGTTTAGCAGGGAGAGAGAGTGCGCTGAAGAGGCAGCACCAACGAGAGTGACATCAATGCGGAGATCAGGAAAGGATTGATGGATAGAATCAAGAAAGGATTCTATTTCTTAAGTTCTGGATCGTTTCTTATGGTTTCTCCCCATCCCTGCATCACAGTTCATCTCTACCTTCTTTGCTGAGAGCGGTCATTTAAACGTTGACTCGCCCTTTGAAAAGAGATTAGGTTGCTTTTCGTTCACTGTCATGAATTCCGGAA